GGAAAGAAAACATGATGTTATATATTTTATAACCTTGGACATAAATCCTGGGGCCATTAAATATGAGAATGATAATTTGATTAAACCAAAATTAAAATTTTCAGCATGGGAAAAAAGGACCTACAATAAATGAAGCCATAGAAAAACATTTGAAACACATGAAAAAATGGACATTTTATTAGTATACAAAGAACTATTAGAAATCAATAATAAGGGCCTATAGTGAAAAGGTCACTAGCAAAGTACAGTGAATTTACTGTGTTTATGTAAGAAAGGACATATAAAGGTATATGCATTTGTGCATGTATATGTTATGCATGAGCATGCATGCACTTGTATATGGACAGAACATATCTGAAATGATACATTAAAATATATGAAGTTAAGTGTGGGAAAGAGAAATAAGATAGTTTTACTTTGCCATATTGTTTACTTTAAAAACCATGAGTATGCCTTGCTTTTATAATACAACAATAAAATCGAACACAAAAACATACTTCAAAGAATGCCACCAGTAATGTGCTACTTGTTTGAAACAGTATAAATTCATTTCTGTTTTCTGTCTCTTTCACTGTGTTCTGTCTTACGCACTGTCAGTATTACATATTGAATTGTATCATGGACTTAAAACACTTAAAAAATGGGAGTGACTTACTGATACTGAGCAATACAAAGCACAGTAAAATTTCAGAGGAAGGTAAGTTAAATAAAGGTAGAACAATTTTGCTTGCAAACTTTTTCTTATCCTTTTGAAATACACAAAGGAAAAAAGTAATTATTGCCGTTTCATTTTGCTTCTTTTACAGAAAGACAAATACCACTACTCTACTACTCCAGTAATTTGATCCATAATTTAGAAAATCAAATTCTACTCCCTAACTACATAATCAACTGTTCATTTAACCACATGTTTTGTTTTTCCCTAAAGTTTCAAACTTCATTTGGAAAATGAGATAAAAATACAAACCAAAGTCTTAACTCCTTCAGTTTACTGAACAATTCTAAGAAATAAAGAATGTATTTCCTCTTTCCAGCACTGTAAATGCTCTAGTGTTGGCCTCCATTTATCTTTTATACCAGATTCTTAACATGAAAGGTGTCTGAGTTAGCTTCAGAATTGCCTTACCTTCCAAAAGCTTCCTTCTGGGTATTGCCTACAAGCATAAGAGTGAATTACAATTTCTTTCATTAAAAAAAAAAAATTCCTTCATTCACTTCCTAAACATTTATTGAGTAACTACTATATGAAAGAATAATCTGAAGCAGTTAATCTGTTCTTTTGACTCCACAAGAGGTCTAAATATGCAATACTAAAATATGAATGCACATGCCCTGTAAGACTTATTATTTCACTAAGGTAAGCAGAACTAAAAAAATATATATATTGGCTATGTTCATTTTAAAAGCCAACATTTTTTAAAATTTTAGCTTAGAGAAAATTTGTTACTCATGAAAATAAAAAGTATCTTTGGTTTAAATCACATATAGGAAAGAAAAATCTTATTTAGTTCATTTATAAAGTAAAACTGTCAAGACAATTATAAATGCAAGTACTGTACTATCTCTAAAGTTTTTAAGGCATTTCATTTGGTGGTAAATGTCAGATGAACATAGCCTTTAACCATAAAACCCTAATCCTATTAATTTTCCCCCCATACTATGTTTATTGAGGTATAGTTGGTTTACAATCTAGTATCTGCTCTGGGAGTGTATTGAGGCCACTCCCAATAGACTACAATGTAGATTGTCTACAAATGTGTTTTCATCTACCATAGTGCCCCAATGACCTCCCACCATGATTTGGGTGTTTCCCTATTATTTGAACTCTAATGTCAAGTAAACAAAATCACATGCATTCTGTCATCATTTTAAAATACAGAGTGATGGTATAGATAGCAAAATGTATTATCAAGAAACTCTGTCTAATAAATGGTAGTTATACATTGTTGGTGGGATGTAGATTGATCCAGCTCTACGAAAAACAGTAAAGAGTTTCTCAAAATATTAAAAATAGAACCACTGTAAGACCTAGCAATTCTATTCCTAGGGATCTCCCCAAAGAATGCAAAAAACACTAATTAAAAGGGATACATGCCTATGTATATTACAGCACTATTTTCAATTAAAAGGGATACATGCCTATGTATATTACAGCACTATTTTCAATTGCTAAGTACATAGAAATAATCTAATTGACAATGAGAGGATTAAGATGTGGTACATAAATACAAAAGGATACTACTGAATTACTGCAATAAAGATGAAATCTTGCCAATTGCAACAACATGGATGGATTTGGAGGGGATAGGCAAAATAGTCAAAGGAGGAAGACAAACACCAAATGGTTTTACTCATATATGGTATACAGAGAAAAGAAAAGAACAATCAAAAACTAGTCCAAAAGAAACCTAGAAATCTGACTTCAGACTGGAGGCCACCAAAAGAAGGGAGTGCAGCAGTGGGAGGCAAAAGGGGGAGGAGGTCCAATACACTCTAAAGTTGAATAGTGTTACCTCCAAAAGATAGGTTCAAATGCTAATTCACAACACCTATGAATGTGACTTTATTTGGAAATAGGGTCTTTGCAGATGTAATAAAGTCAATATGGGCTCATACTGAATTAGAGTGGGCCTATGACTGTGTTCTTTTAAGAAGAGAAGAGACAGACACAAAAGGAGGAACCATAGGATGAGGAAGACAAAAACTGAATTGATAAATTTATAAGCCAAAAATGCCAAGAACTGCAGACAATACCAGAAGCTAAGGAAAGGTATGGACTGTATTATCCCCTAGGGCCCTCAAAGAATGTAGTCCTCAGGACAACTTAGTAGGCTTTTAGCCTACAGAACTTTGAAAGAATAAATTTTTAACTCAAACCATCTAGTTATGGTAATTTGTTAAAAAAGACCTAGGAAACTAACGTAGTAAACAAAATTCCCTGTTTACTTTTATTTTCATATTGGAAACATCAAATCAACTTCTCAGATTAAATAAACATCTGATCAATGGATACATAAAAGATATTTACTCCCAAGAATAATAGTATTCAAATTGCTCTGCACATGAATCTTTCTCCATGATAATAATTATTGATGGTTAAAATAATTATTGATAAAATTTTAGAACATGTAGTGAGTTCATGAACATCCAAGTAAAAACTTTGGCAAAATTTGGAATGTGTGTAGTTTTCGTGAGACTCAAAGGTTAACAATTTTTTTTTTAAATGGTTTTTAACTATATCCTGGGTAAACTGCATTTTCACATTTTTAAATATGAATTATATACTTCTTGGGAATCTTCAATATAAAAAAAATTAGGAGCAGTACAATAGACATAATGATGCAAGGGAAATTTAGCATAGGTATAATGAACAAATTGATTATTTCAATTATTATTGCAAGAGTAGGGCTTATTATGAGGCAATCTTAGTTTTCAATCATTACGCAAAAAATAGATTTACTACATAATCTACTTATTGAATCATGTGCTAGGCAAGTACTAAGCATGTAAGTTTTTACCTATTTTTATGATTTATTGCTTACACTTACATTATTACTAGCATCCAAATTTTAAAGATGTAAAATTGGGGATCAAAGAAAATAAAAAATTTGCAAATCTGAGGAAAAAATGTTTTAGAAATAGCTGTACTTTAAAAAAGTGTGAAAGGAATTACAAAAAAGAACTTTCTACTCCTGAGAGCAGTTATACTAGATTGCATTGCTGAGTGAGGCAATGGAATCCATTTCTTTGCATAAGAATCTATTTCTTTACAAAAGAAGTAATACATTGTCAGCAGTTCAGAAAGGTTTAGGTGTGTCTCTGCCAGAAGGCAGCCAGTGGATAACCACTTATGTTTCAATAAAGCCCAGTGACTGCATAATAATGCTATTCTTTTATCTGTAAGGCGAGGGCAACACAGCTGCTTATTCTTTTCTTTGGTGATCAGGATTTGCTGTCCAAAAGTTGCAGGATAATTTGAATGTAATTAGATGAAATTTTCCCCAACAGAAAAGCAAGAATTAATTTTGACTAGTTACTGAACAAAAACTCAGAAGCTCTACACTGGGCTTTTTAAACATTTATGGCCTCCTTTACTTAGAAAGCATTCATCTACATAGAACTTAAAAAGCAGACATCTTTGCTGGATGACCTTAGGCCTATGAGTTGAATTAACAGAACAATAAATCAAAAATTCTGAGCATATCTACAGTTCCTTTGTTCATATAAAATCCTTTGAAAAATTCAATTTTAGTCATTCTACTTATATTTTTAGAAGTTTATTTTTATCTATTTAATCTACTTAAGTCTTTGTTTTTCATGAAGTGAAAGGAGAGTCCCTATAACTTTTTTCTTTTAAAATACAAGCAATTTCTTCCCAAGTAAACATTCCCTTTAAAGGGTAATGTAAATCATTTCAATATGAAGATCCTTGCCCAAATGTTCTGCCCTGGGCAATAGAGGTGCTGTGAAAGCAACTGAAAGTTCAATGAAATATTCTGATACAGAAGAATGAAAAGGGATGACATTCTAACATTTTTGAGCACTTCAGTATAGTGGTTAAGAATAAGTGAGAAAAAAATGTTAAAATTGAAAAAAACATATAAATGGTATGGATAATTTCAAAATAAATAGGAAATAATTCTAACTTCTGAAACTACTTAGTATTGGTAGCTATATGATATAGTGTCCAAGACAGATACAAAGAGCACTATTTTCAAGCATGGGTACTTAATTTTTATTATTTAAATATTTATTTTGTATTTAGGGATAAAATGTAGCTCTACACTATGTAATACAAGATGAAAAGCAGCTAAATGTAATTTTTGACATGCAACTGTGCTCAGGGAAAAGGAAATAAAAGGAAAAAATAGTTTAGTTATGCTTATATAAAAATTGTTATATTAAAACATTTCATTTTTACATTAATATGTAAGATAATTCTATTTGTTTCTACATGCTTAATAACAGAAAACTCATAGCACAAGTATTTCATTGCTTGCCTCCAAAATATTGTTGACATCCTCTGTGGCCATCTGCCAAGGCAGTCATTCCTTTGTGTTTGATGGATTTAGCGATGTATTAGAGTTCTATAAACTGATGAAGGAAAATATTCTGTGCTCTTGGCTTCTGGTATTTGTTTCCTTGGTCCTGTTAAGAAGGAAAAAAGGGTGAATTCACTAATTTTAAACATTTATTCAGTTATTCTATATTTCTTTAGATTCATACTTAAAGACATTTTGAGATTTTATGAGACATTAAGAATAACAGAATCTAGAAAACCTAAATAAGGGACCAGGAAAAAGAATAACTATAAGAAAGAAAAAATCAAAATCAACAAACAACTATAAACCAGAGACACACTATGAGGGGGCAGGGAAAGGAGGGATTGGGGTCAAAATAAAGGGGGTGCAATTGTATGAGGAATATAAAAATAAAATAAAATTAAAAAAGAATAATAGAATCCTAGTCTCATACACAGTACTTGCTAAATTTATAAGAGCAGGTAAAAAAGAGCTCTATCAATGAGATGATTTAATACCTATATTCCACACTATAGGAAGTTGAAATCCAGAGAGGTTAATATAACTTGACCAATATTCTAGGCAATTAAAGACAGTCAGCATGAGAGAAACCAGTTCTTTCTAAGTTCAGCACTCTTTCTTCTGTTTTTCAACTGGGAAAAGAGAAGACTCTGGAAGAGGGAGGGAGTTTTGGAAGAGCATTATAACCAAGCTAATTTCTCAGCCCTAATGTTTAGAGATAAATCTAGAACAAGAAACAACAAACATGATACTTTAATAATATTTAGACTATAAATTCATAGCACAAATTTGATCAATGGATATCTAAGAGACATTATTTTAGTAAACTATGATTAAGATACTGTTTTATTAAAAATGACCAGTCACCATTAAGTTTCTGAATATCATGCAGAGCCATGATTAGTTATTCTTCCCAGTCTGTATATATATTACTGTAACAATCTATTATCTACATAGCAACAGAGTAATATTTTTATTATCCACAGAATAAAAGAGTGAAATTCTTAAAAAGAAAGCTGGATTTTAGATATTCCTTTGGTCAAAACACTCAAAAAAATTTCATTTAATTTTTATGATAAAATGCAAAAATCTTATCTTGTTCTAGATGATTGGGCCCTCTGTTGGGGTAACTCTGTGATAGCTTAGCCAATCACTCTTTCCTGCATTGGTATTATACAGTAATAGACTTCTTATTCTTCAAATATGATAAACACTTTGATTGAGGTCTCTGACATTGGTCTTCCCTCAGACTGGAACATGTCTGTTACCAAAGAGTGAAATGCTTTTTTACCTTGAGAGCCCCTTGACAGTATGTTTCAATAATCTACTCAAATGTTACCTCTTTTCAAGGCATTTTCTTACTACACTCTAAATTTTCCCAACCTCTACCCCTCCTGTTTGGCCTTCATTCTCTATTCCTATATGTGCTTTATTTCCATTCATAACATTTATAATGTCTAAATATTACACAGCCCAACATAATCTCTGTAGGAACAGATGTGTTTTGGAATTATGTATTATTTGATTTTTTTTTTTTTTAAAGATTTCTTTATACAAGCACTGGGTACAGTCAGAAACACGGGAGGGTGAGAGAATTCACCAGAGCCAGAACAGGGAACAGAACAGGCAGACCAACGAAGTACACTGCTGAGGGGAACAGTGGGCGAGGCAGGAGAGGTCTGCGTGCCATGTGGGACCCTCACTGGCGGCTGGGGATCGAACTGGCGCTGCAGAGGCTGTGGGCAGCTTTGTAACCCAGCGTTCAACTGCTGCGCCACCCGGGAGGCCCTTATTTGATTTTTTTAATGTCAATATAGTACATGTAATTATGTAACATGCCCCACCTCCCTACCCCCATCTGAGAGGTCTGGAACAGCACTCTGAAATCAAATATTTTAATAGCTGTACAGCAAAGCATATGCTCATCTAAGTGGGGTTTTAAAAGACAGTAAGTAGCTTCATGTCAATTTTACTAATAAATGAGTTAGATTAGGACATGTTTTACTACCATATGAGTTGCAAAAACTTTCAATTTCAGACCTTTTTGAGTTTGGAATTGCTGATAAGGATTTGTTAAATATACTGGATAATAATTTGCTTATTGCCTATTTCTTCAATATAATGTATGCTCACAAACACGAGATCTATATTGTTATTCTTGCTGCAATATGCCCAGTTCTTAACAAGTTAGTAAGTATTGAGTAAATATTAGTAGATAAAGGATTCTGTAAGAATCAGTTTTTATTTGTTTTATAAGAAGTCCTATCTTATAACAATTATTTTCAATTGAAGGAAGAATTGCAAAAATTATTTTAAAAGTTGCTTAAATTACTTCTTTTAAGACCCACTAAAAGAAAAAAAGTATGATAAACAGAATTTAAGATACAGAGAAAAAAGAGTACCAAAAGAATACTTAATAGTACCGAAAGAATACACCAAAGACAGTGCCAAGGTGGGGCAGGTGGTGGTGGTGGAAGGTACTGCCTATAGTTTTTACCAGTACACTCAATTGCCAGGCACTACTCAGGCTCAGAGTCCAACAGCAATGAGGTTTATTTAACAAACAAGAGATTGGGAAAACGAGTTTCTAAGGCCACAAATTGCTGGCTGTCTCACCCTAGATTGCGTTTGCAGTGTTCAGTAGTCCCAGACAAAGGCTGCACCACAAAGATGGCACTATCCCCTCAACGAGGTCCTGGATCTGGTGGTCAGCAGTGCATCAGGGTCCATCTCATGGGGGCAGCTGGAGGTGCTCACGTGTGGGGTTGCTTAGATGACAATGCACAGTCTGAAGGCTGGGATGGATGTCAACCACATGCCAGACTTGATAGTGATGGACTCACCAGCACCAAGAAGTGCTATAGAATCAGAGGTGGTGGACAGTTCTCAAAGGTGGCTGGACAGAGTGCAGGTCACTGATCAATAATGCCCATCAACACTGGTCATCAGGAGGTGGTGTCAGAGACACTGTTGCTACAGTTCTTTATAAGCTATTGGTATGAAACAACCAATAGTCAACAGCAGTTTGAAACAGTGTTCAAGCTAACAGTGAGCTAACAGTGTTCCTTACAGGCAAAGTGAGAGGCAGGGCTGGAGGCAAATGTAGCAGTCAGGTCTCTGAGAAAGTCTACAAAGGTCTGCCGAATCCTGTGGTGGTCACCTGCTGAATCCTTCTTTCTTCAGAGACTGGCTTCTGAATTCTTCTCTCTTCAGAGATTGGCTGCTATATGCTTCTTCTCCTTTGGAGGCTGGTTGCTGAGTGATTGTAGTTGGTTCTTGCTCTGCTTTATATCCTCTTCAGGGTCCCCTATAATACAAGCTTGACTGGATGGTTTTTCAGTCCTAAGCTTCTGATTGGTTCTGGTTAGTACCAATCTGCTTGCTTTCATTTTCAATTTGCATAATTAACTCAAGGTTTGAATGACCGCTTGAGAAATCAAACCTAATTGACCTATTTATGATCCTGGAGCAAGATACAAAAGAGGAAAAACCTGGCCCCTGTCTAGACCAGCCTCCCCTCAGGAAAGGGCAGGCTTGTGGACCAGAGAGGGCTCTGAAGAACTATGGCTGAACCAAGGCTCAGTAAATTCAAAGTTACATTGCACCTTGGCACCCTTCAGTGAGGTCAGGTTTGACCTGGGAGTTCCTGTAGCAGTGATGGAATAGGGGACACAGCAACTACAGACATGGGTCCCAGTGACTGCAGGACAGACCGCTGTAGGCATCTGGTTCAGAAACAACACCAGGGCCATGTGATACAGTGGAATGAATCTTCAGCTAGAATTCTAGAAATCTAGGCCTGCTTCCTTGCATTCCCATTTTTCATTTAACTATTAATTTATATATTGTTTATCAATCCCATTGATCCCTTTCTTTTTAATCAAGTATTTCATTATTTTGTCTAAGTCATTATCTGTAAAATGAGAGGGTAGAACTTCCTGACCTTTAGTACTTCTATGGTTTCAGCAATTAGGCAGTAACCACTCTACTATTCCAGAAGTTGACTGATCAGCATGAAAGACATATACCTTGTCAAATAATTTTTAATTAAATTCAAGCATGTTTAAATCCAATGAAGTGACACATTTGCCAAGTATGTATTTTATGTCACAGATATATAAAACTGAACTTCTGTGTGTTTCTGCATGAGAGTATGCCTAATAATACCAATTACTGAGCATTTACTATGTACCAGACATTGTTTTAAACTCTTTACATATATTAAACTTACAAGTTACAAATTCTTGAAATATATTTTAGCAGTTGGGCTTTTCCCTTCTTATTCTGCTGTTCATCCTGAGGAAAAATGTTGTAGGTAGCAGTAGACCCAAGGAAGATGAATGACGTGGCATAGACTCACACCCACCCTCTAATTGGAATCATCTCCAGTTGAGCTCACTCTCGATCAGACTTATTCTAGCTTACCAGGGGATTCCTGAACTAGAACTAAATGCTTACTGTGGTATGTCAGGGACATTTTGTGGTGGTTTGTACTGCAGCAGAAGCTCAACAATAAACTTCCTTATTATAGACACTCAAGATGAGGGCTAAAGATTGAGTAATTTATCCAATCCTTTATAGCTATTTTGTGGTGCAGCTAGGATATAAAGTGGTACAAGTCTGGCTCAAGGGCTTATGCTCTTAGCTCCTCTCTGTATTATACTGGCTTACACTCTTAGCCCCTCTGCTAGAATGTCTCTGTTTTATATTGGCTATGTTACATTTTATTAAACCATTTATTAATATGGCTGTGGTGAGCTGGTATATATTAATATTCATAGCTGCAAATGTCTAATTGTTAGTGGACAAAAATGACTTCCAGCTTTGAAATGTTTCATCTTGAAACATTAATAAATACCAAATAAATGATTTATTTTCTGGAGTCAGATTAATAAAACCATACATCCTTTGAGGTAGTTTCCCAGCTCAACCCGATACCAAACAGTGCTCCTCAGTGCTACTAATTCTACTAAGTGATTCTACCCTCTTACCTTGGCTGACCTAGTGAATGATGCTGGATCATCCAGGTGTCTCTTTATGTATTTTGAAATTTGGACATATGACTATAGCTGACCCCATTAACAGCCTACTCTGGAGAAAGCTGAA